AAATGTTGCAAGTGACCAATTTACAAACGATGTAAACGATCTTCTCCGAGAACTGAACGAGAAATTTTCTATGACAGAGAGTATACAAAAATGCAAGGCAAAAGATGCAAGAACTGAGATTTGAAAATTGGAATAATGATCGTAAATTAGCGGGAATGCTTATAAATTTGTACACAAACTCTGACGAGAATAATCACTTGCCAGCTGCGACTTTCTACAGAAGCTTGAATCGAGCAATAAGGAGTGAAAACCCTGATTTTATTTGGCAAAAAGTTGAAAAATTGCTGAATGAAGCTTTACATATAATCGGACATGAAACATTTGAGTATACATTCAGAGGAGAAAGATGTTGCAAGTCTTCTATTTCCAATGACCTTACAGAAGGGTCATCGTTCAAGGTACGAGGCTTCTGGAGCACTACCCTTGATCCTTCTTTCACTGACCATTTTGGCGGTGCGGAATATGCTTTCTACATTATTAAGAACGTTCAAGGTGTAAATGTTCAACATGTTTCTGTAACAGATATGGAAAAGGAAGTTTTAGTTCAAAGTTCAAGAGAATATATTCTAGAAAGGAAAATAAGTAACAAGGAAGAACAACGAAAAGAGCTTATAAGACTTAATTTGCGATATCCTAACTTTGAACATTCAAAATTTGACCCTGAGAACATATTCATACTTGTACCTTTTCAAGAGGATGGTGAATATGATGAGTTATGAGCGTCTTGTAAAGGTTTTATCAGCCATGGGAATCCAGCTAGTTTAAAAAAAATGATGGTGTTTGTTGTTGTTTTTTGTGTGTTTTTTTATTTGTTTGTTTTTTGTTGTTGTTTTGTTTTTCGTACAACAGCAAATTTTCATATTAAATGGTTTATGAAAAATAGTGAAACTTTTTTTTTAAAAATACGATTTAATAATATTCAATCAGAATTCACAAGTTAATATATTAATTATAACATAATAGACTTACACAAATATATTGGCTAAATTCGACCACGCATAGCATATAACTACATGTACGTCTTATGTTAAAGTGTTGCTGTTTTTGAAATGAAGTCAAGTTACATTGTTGATGTTTTTTGTTCTTGGTGGGGGTCTTTATTTATTTTGTTCATTCTATCTTTTGAACATAATTTAAACAACTAATTCGATTTTATTGCAACCTCATATACAATTCTCATACTCCCAGCTTCTCCCAAGATTTTTTACACCTGAACAATGAGCAAAGTATATACTCGTGATTTTGTAAGAAGTTCTATATTTACAAAATATGATACAATATGACAAATTAAATATGATACAAACATGATAACTGATGTTTTGATTCTTGAAATATATTTGCTTAAAAAAATAAGTACTTCAGTTACACAATATGGAGGTTTTTTTCAAAATTTTTATTTTGTGGGTTCGTTCAAAAATATATTATGTAAGCCAATCAAACATAAAATAAAAATTACGACAATTCTAGCAAAATGGAAATATTTGATCATCACTGTCAATGTTAATTAAAGGACAACATACATGGACTGCTCAGTATTACAATTTTATATTAAATGTTGCCTTGTTAAAGTATTACTTATTGATGTAATAATCAATTGATAAATAATCAATAAGTTTACAAAAAAGCTTATTATTAGTCAAGATAAAGTTCAGTTTTACCTTCTTGAACGAGTTTATAAAATAATTGTCTAAGAATAAATAAATGAAAATACAAATAATAATAAATTCTTGGCATATTAGCAAAATTCTATATATATCTAAACAATTAGATAGAGTGTGGCCAAAGTAAAATTTTAAAAAGTTCATGCCATTTATCGGCCTCGGTCAAATTAAGTGTTTACTATTTGAAAGGTTAAAGTTTTATTATAAATATAATGCACCCATCAATAAAAAAAGTTATACCCATTTATAATCAAAAGATGGTTTTTGCAAAAGATGCAAGAATGAAGATTGGAAAATAACAATGCTCGATTTTAAAGCACAACCCTTAATCCTTTCTTACATCAATTTGACGGTGCGGAACATCTTCCGCTATAGATATGAGAAAGTGGAAAAAAGTGTTGATTCAATGTTCTAGGAATGAAAGTAGGTAAATTGGTAAAAAACTAATATTAAGTCGCTGAAGGTGGCTAACAAATGGATGTATAAAATGTTGGATTTGTCTGTATTCGACACTGAGATAAACAAAATCCACCCAACGCAGATCACAGTCATGTAATAAGGCAGCGTGATTACGTCAATTATATGTATAGTTAAGATGCAATACACATATATCCATGTATATTATTACGTGACTTGGCATACCTGTATTATTGTCCTTAACTGTGTATGTTTAAATGAATTTATTTTTACTCCAATTGGTAAGTGACTCATGTTAATTAGTCACATAAAAATCATGTTTTTGTTAACATTCAAGTGATTGTACGGTAAGTAATGTTTCATTTAAGGTCGTTTGTGAGTTAAACAGAATCACAGTGTGAGAATCGTTCCTAGCTTTGCAATTGAACATTTCAATAACAATATACATTAAAATAAAGATATTTAAAGAAAGAAACATAGTTATTTTGTCCTTATTTTTTAGTTTTCTTCTGACCTGATTTACTTAGCTATTTTTGATTTGCGGACTATCTAAGTAGCTACACAATGTCATAAAAAGGATTATTTCCCTTATAAAATCACTTAAAGTTCCATCTATCATCGCAGTCTGATGAATTATCTTTTTCAAATTAATTGAATCAAATATGGGCACATATACTGCCTTTTAACAGAAAATACTTCGTATAAGACTATATAGTACACTGTAGTTAATGGCAAGCGATTTTTATAAAAATGGGGCTAACTAAAATTACACACACACTTGATAAAAGGTCGTCTTAAGGTCGTCTTAGATTCTTCAAAGTAAGTGTAATAAATTTTTGGATTTCTTTGAAATAAAATTCATTTGAGTGAAATACAAGTTCCATATCACGATATTCCAATATTCAAACCGACTTGCTTTGGTTTTCGATGGTTTATTCAACTTTTGAAAACGTAAATTACAAAACGTGCCTACCAAGTATCTTAACTATATGTCGTTACTTTCAAAAGAGAGGATTATAAACGTTGTTAACCCTCAACCGCGCCACCTTCTTTACAGTATGCTGAAAGCCTTAACTTGGGATTCACGATTATGTAGAAATACTTAAAGTTATTTCGACATGTTAACTTCTTGCATAAAATTATAAACTTTAAACTGCAACACGAATGTCGAGATAAAAGTAAAAGTGACTATGATTTTAATTTTATTTTAAATGACTACGCATAACTAATATGATGTCGACCTAGTTGGAAATTTGAGACTTTTTAATTATTCTAATATCTTTTTCTTGTAAGAAAATAGTACAGCAACAATAGAGTACATGGGGTACACGTATTAGAGGTTCAAAGTGAAAAATATCACATAGATATATGAACATGTAGTAACTGTTACGCCTTTACAAGAAAACAGCAAAATTTATAAGCATTTATCAAGCTATGTAAAACAAAAATATTTGTAATCGATTCTGGAAAAAATAAAAGCTTAAACAGATAAAAAGAAATTCTCTATAATGTAAATTCACTACATTAAAGTCATTGAATTCAATATAGTTTATGAAAACCTGACTATGGGTTTATTTGTAGATTACAATGTAGCTTCCAGATCAAAGCTTTCAAATCGTCTATATATCGAACGTATTATAAAAAAATGTTTTCAAGTATACAAAATACCAAAATATCAATGTTCGTACCTTTATTTACTTCCCTTACGTTTATATTCTCCTTAGTGTATCGTTTCATATCTATGAATTTTGATCAGTCATTATCTGTCATTTGAACTGTTACTTTCTTCAACTCAGCTTTTTTTCGATACTAAAGTTATTTTGGCTATATCGGATTACTAATATAGATATATGTATATATAGTAATATACTTAGTTAAAGGAAAAAAATACCTGGAATAAGTAAAGTGCCTAAAATATCTCTGATTTCAAAAATCGTTTAGTTATAGCCGTGGAGTTGACAATACAGGCATAATAAAACCAGAAAAGGAAAATATGCATTTTCCATTCATATATATACTTGCAATGTGCTTTTCGATTAAAGGTAACGAAAAATATAGTTTAATCAATGAATACATGTTTATATTTAACTTTCTAAATTAGCAGTATCACCTTTCTCTTTTTATAGAATAATTTTCATTGTTTTAATTTTAATCATAAACAAGGTAAAATGGTATAATTGACCGATTGGGAATAGGTGATTGATTGTTTGTTTGATTGATTGATTGATTGAATTGATTGATTGATTGATTGATTGATTAATTCATTGATTAATAGCCTCTAATGAAATTCAACGTTTTTCCGTTCAAATTTCATATATGCGCAGGAATTATCGAAACCTTTTTGTTTTAAAATTAATGTACTACTTACTTTCGTTATATTTTAAATTAAGTTATAATCAAAACACAAAGTAGGCAGTTGTTAAAATAAATAAAAAAAATTTGTCATAAAATTAGTTTGATGTTGGTAAAACTTTTTGATACGATGTCACAAATAAATGCGGTCTAATTGGCAACACAATATTGAAACTATGCCAGTTGAAATCATTCAGGGGGTTATTGTTATTGTTGTTGTTTTTGTTTGGGTTTTTTTTAACATACAAATCAAACAACATAATAGTGATTGCTAGTTTCTGTTCTATGTTCTGTTTGGGAACTTTGCTATTCAAAGTAGTTGAAGATCAAACTATTTAGTTTTCAGTGGATTTAACCTTTTCAATAGACTTTAAATATATATATGGAAAATGATTGACAACCGCAATTGTGTTTACAATACAATGTTTATTTTTTACATTTCATAAAGTTTAAGACGTGCAGAATGTTTTTATCTATTCCACTCAGAGTATTGATAATATATTTATAATGTAAATATTTTTAGTCGCTACTTTAATGCATGTTTTTATTGATTAAAATATGATAAACAAGATCAACAAGGAAAGGCGGCGTTCAATGAACGCAACCCCCATATGACCCAGCAACAAGAACCAACGGCAAGGAGCCCAGGCGGACCCCGAACAAAAACAGGACAGGGCAAAGACAGAGCACGGACAGGTTAATCATTAAATGATAAATAATTTGGAACTGATTAGGAATTCAAAGAAAATAATAATAGGCCCACAAAGGGGAAGGGGACAGGAGACCGGGGGAAGGGGGGGGGGGTAATTAAAGAAATAAAAACTAGAGGCAATGGGGAAGATACTTACCGTAGACGTAAAGTAAGACTAATCATTAATTTATTCAATTTGTATTTTTTACTTATCAAACTATAGCTTTAAAATTCAGAACGTAAAATTTTTACCATTCTTAAGTTATAATTGTATAACGTTAAGAATAATTTTGAATTTACTTTGTACGATAACATATACTAAATCTATTTTAAAGTATGTTGTTCTAGTTTCTGTATTAAATTATTTAAAGGTTTATACACGGCAGAGCATGGCCGGAATCTTGATGATCATCGGCTTCAGACCGAGGGCATTATAAATTACTTGGCGGATTATCACTTTCAGGCTCGCCTCTGACGTGTATCTATGTTAATATCTTATAGTAGCACTTGATTAATTAGTTTGATATTTCATTCTTTAACTGTACAGTATCTTATACACAGTTGCTTCCCTTATTTGCAAAGAATGAAGTAGAAAGTTTTATTTTTTCGGAATAAAATTTTGGGGTTTTTATTCCTTTAAATTTACAATTAAACTGTGTTTGTAAAATTACGCTGAAGTTGTAATCATAAAATTAAGCGATCAGTGCTAACATCCTAACTTTCACTTCACAGTGACGTAAAATGTGACATTATTGTTACAGTGTTTGCACGTGCTCGTGTTCAGCGGGCCGATTATGATTATAGGTTTTGTGTGCTTCATCTACTATAATAGCTAATTCTTACTAGAAACAGAGCGTTTCAACGAGGAAGAATATCATATTGTTGAAATAACAAGTCTCTTGTTGAATGTACTGAAAACTGTTGGCAGTTACCTTAAAAATGCGTGGTTGTAAAATATCCGTGGCATTAATTACGGGTGTAATATTATGTTAATATTTCAATGCAAAAAGAAACTGATATAGATTGATGGGATCACCTGGTTTATTGCTTTGATATTAAAACAGAACAAACATTTTTATTTCAGACTCAAGCATTATTGTACTTGAACTAAAAACGTTCTGTCGATCTTTGAAAAGAAGTCAATCTATATTAAACATGATAAAGCGGAAAATAATAAAAACCATACAGTTGTAATTAAAATTGTTTGCAAAGGAAACCCAACTTTTATTAATGCTAATGTGTTTTGATATATATCTGTAAAATATACAAATGATAAATATAAATAATTCATACTGTTATACTTCCTTCATTATTATTTTCTTGATATTTATTATATGTTAATATCTTTTACATTTATAACCAGGTGTGCATCTTGACGAAATTTCCAAGAAAACACCAAATGTTAACATTGACCAATTTTCGAATGCTGTAAATGATCTTCTCCGAGAACTGGACGAGAAATATTCTATGACAGAGAGTATACAAAATGCAAGGCAAAAGATGCAAGAACCGAGATTTAAAACATGGGATAATGATCGTAAATCAGCGGGAATGCTTATTAATTTGTACACAAACTCTGACGAGAATAAGCACTTGCCAGATGCGGTTTTCTACAGAAGCTTGAATGAAGCAATAAGGAGTGAAAACCCTGATTTTATTTGGCAAAAAAGTAAAAAATTGCTGAATGAAGCTCTACATAAAATCGGACATGAAACATTTGAGTATACATTCAGAGGGGAAAAATGTTGTAATTCTTCTATTCCCGAAAACCAAACAGAAGGGTCAACGGTCCTTGTACGAGGCTTCTGGAGCACTACCCTTCATCCTTCTCATACTGATCATTTTGGCGGTGCGGAATATGCTTTCATCATTATTGAAAACGTTCAAGGTGTTAATGTGCAACATGTTTCTGTTACTGCTAAGGAAAAGGAAGTTTTACTTCAAAGCCCAAGGAAATATATTCTAAAAAGGAAAATAAGCAACAAGGAAGAACAAAGAAAGGAGCTTAAAAGCTTGCAGTATCCAGACTTTGACCCTTCAAAATTTGACCCTAAGAACATATTCATACTTGTCCCACTTAATGAGAATCCTAAACATGATGAAGTCCCACTTAATGAGAATCGTAAACATGATGAAGTCCCACTTAATGAGAATCGTGAACATGATGAAGTCCCACTTAATGAGAATCGTAGACATGATGAAGTCCCACTTAATGAGAATCGTAAACATGATGAAGTCCCACTTGATGAGAATCGTGAACATGATGAAGTCCCACTTAATGAGAATCGTAAACATGATGAAGTCCCACTTAATGAGAATCGTAAACATGATGAAGTCCCACTTAATGAGAATCGTGAACATGATGAAGTCCCACTTAATGAGAATCGTAAACATGATGAAGTCCCACTTAATGAGAATCGTAAACATGATGAAGACGAAGTTTCCAAGAAAACACCAAATGTTAACATTGACCAATTTTCGAATGCTGTAAATGATCTATTCCAAGAACTCGATAAGAAATATTCTATGACAGAGAGTACAGGAAATGCAAGGAAAAAGATGCAAGAACCGAGATTTAAAACATGGGAAGATGATCTTAAATCGGCGGGAATGCTTATTAATTTGTACACAAACTCTGACGAGTATAAGCACTTGCCGAATGCGACTTTCTACAGAAGCTTGAATGAAGCAATAAGGAGCGAAAACCCTGATTTTATTTGGCAAAAAAGTGAAAAGTTGCTGAATGAAGCTCTACATAAAATCGGACATGAAACATTTGAGTATACATTCAGAGGGGAAAAATGTTGTAATTCTTCTATTCCCGAAAACCAAACAGAAGGGTCAACGGTCCTTGTACGAGGCTTCTGGAGCACTACCCTTCATCCTTCTCATACTGATCATTTTGGCGGTGCGGAATATGCTTTCATCATTATTGAAAACGTTCAAGGTGTTAATGTGCAACATGTTTCTGTTACTGCTAAGGAAAAGGAAGTTTTACTTCAAAGCCCAAGGAAATATATTCTAAAAAGGAAAATAAGCAACAAGGAAGAACAAAGAAAGGAGCTTAAAAGCTTGCAGTATCCAGACTTTGACCCTTCAAAATTTGACCCTAAGAACATATTCATACTTGTCCCACTTAATGAGAATCCTAAACATGATGAAGTCCCACTTAATGAGAATCGTAAACATGATGAAGTCCCACTTAATGAGAATCGTGAACATGATGAAGTCCCACTTAATGAGAATCGTAGACATGATGAAGTCCCACTTAATGAGAATCGTAAACATGATGAAGTCCCACTTAATGAGAATCGTGAACATGATGAAGTCCCACTTAATGAGAATCGTAAACATGATGAAGTCCCACTTAATGAGAATCGTAAACATGATGAAGTCCCACTTAATGAGAATCGTGAACATGATGAAGTCCCACTTAATGAGAATCGTAAACATGATGAAGTCCCACTTAATGAGAATCGTAAACATGATGAAGACGAAGTTTCCAAGAAAACACCAAATGTTAACATTGACCAATTTTCGAATGCTGTAAATGATCTATTCCAAGAACTCGATAAGAAATATTCTATGACAGAGAGTACAGGAAATGCAAGGAAAAAGATGCAAGAACCGAGATTTAAAACATGGGAAGATGATCTTAAATCGGCGGGAATGCTTATTAATTTGTACACAAACTCTGACGAGTATAAGCACTTGCCGAATGCGACTTTCTACAGAAGCTTGAATGAAGCAATAAGGAGCGAAAACCCTGATTTTATTTGGCAAAAAAGTGAAAAGTTGCTGAATGAAGCTCTACATAAAATCGGACATGAAACATTTGAGTATACATTCAGGGGGGAAAAAGATGGTGGGTCTTCTATTCCCGAAAACCTAACAGAAGGGTCAACGTTGACTGTACGAGGCTTCTGGAGCACTACCCTTCATCCTTCTCACACTGATCATTTTGGCGGTGCGGAATATGCTTTCATCATTATTGAAAACGTTCAAGGTGTTAATGTGCAACATGTTTCTGTTACTGATATGGAAAAGGAAGTTTTACTTCAAAGCTCAAGGAAATATATTCTAAAAAGGAAAATAAGCAACAAGGAAGAACAACGAAAAGAGCTTGAAAGCTTGCAGTATCCAGACTTTGACCCTTCAAAATTTGACCCTAAGAACATATTCATACTTGTCCCACTTAATGAGAATCGTAAACATGATGGAGTCCCACTTAATGAGAATCGTAAACATGATGAAGTCCCACTAAATGAGAATCGTGAACATGATGAAGTCCCACTTAATGAGAATCGTAAACATGATGAAGTCCCACTTAATGAGAATCGTAAACATGATGAAGTCCCACTTAATGAGAATCGTGAACATGATGAAGTCCCACTTAATGAGAATCGTAAACATGATGAAGTCCCACTTAATGAGAATCGTAAACATGATGAAGTCCCACTTAATGAGAATCGTAAACATGATGAAGTCCCACTGAATGAGAATTGTGAACATGATGAATTCCCACTTAATGAGAATCGTAAACATGATGAAGTCCCACTTAATGAGAATCGTAAACATGATGAAGTCCCACTTAATGAGAATCGTAAACATGATGAAGTCCCACTGAATGAGAATCGTGAACATGATGAACTATGAGTGTCTTTTATCAGCCTTGAATATCCTTTCAGCTAAGACTATGTTGATTTTTTTTTCTTGTTTTGTATTTTTCTTACAACGGCTATATTGACATAACCAACGAATATCTTTGGTTAATGATACATTACAATGAAACTGTTTTTCTGTACGAAATCTGCTGTGGTCATAATATTATTTTTAAAATAGGTTTATCTCTTCAATTTGGTTTGCAAATCATGGTCATGCAACTACATGATTAGGTAAAGAAGCAGACGCTTGTTTTGGTTGAGTCTTTTATGTTTTTATAGGGATGATTTGTTATTCACAAACTTACACTTTATATGCATGTATAATTTGCAATGCTATTTTATTATATTGAATAATTCTTGGATTGTTTTATCAAATTATTTGTACTGTAATTAAAAGTGTTAGACTCGTATGTCCGATTTAAGGCATAATCTTAATGAAAATGAAATTAGTTCACTTTTTCATTTGTATTGATTACATGATGCTTTAAGCCAATAAAAAAAACATCAACATAATCGGGTAGAGACAAAAGTTGCTTATAGTAAATCGATAATCTTTACAAACTTTAAATATCAAGTGTTAATTTCATATTATATTATCGGTAGAAGATACTGTCCGAGGGGGGGGGGGGGCAGGCATTTTTGTATCGTTACATGACTTCCGTGTCAATATCACGTGATTATCCCAAGCACCACCATGACTTAGCGCGGTAATTATAGTATAGCTAACCTGGACGTGTCGCATAGGATATCATAGTAAATATTTTTTTATTTGTTTGTAATAAATATTTACAAACCGTATCTTTTTGGGTTTTATTTGATCAGTCGATAACAAACAAGAGCACCGCTAGGCGGAGCATTATATGCCCGAAAGTGTTTTTTTAGTAAGGATGAAGCATTTGTAACACATGGGAATTAGCTGTTCATCCTATGAAATTTTACAGATGTAGGTTGATTAATACTTAAGTTATTAATAATTACCTTAACCTTTGACCTTGTGACCCTAAAATTAATAGGGGTCTTCTACCTTATATAGACAATCATCCTAAGAAGTTTGAATATTGCGGGCCAAATGGAACTTTAGTTATGCTCTATGGAAACTGTTTTCAGTATCACGGTAATAGTGACCTTGACCTTTGACCTTGTGACCCAAAAATCAATAGGGGTCTACTATCCAATATGCACAATCATATTATGAAGTTTGAATATTTTGGGCCAAATGGAACTTAAGCTATGCTCTGGAAACTGTTTTCTGTATTAAGGTAAAAGTGACTTTGACCTTGTGACCCCAAAATCAATAGGGGTCTTCTACTCCAATCATGGACAATCATCCTATGAAATTTGAATAAAATGGGCAAAATGAAACTTACGTTTTGCTCCAGAAACTGTTTTTGATTTTAAGGTAATTGTGACCTTGACCTTTAATCTAGTGACCCCTAAATCAATAGGGATATTTTGCCTTATATGGACAATCAACCTATGAAGTTTGAATATTGTGAGCAAAATTGAACTTTAGTTATGCTTCGGAAACTGTTTTTCAGTTTTAAGGTAATAGTGACCTTGACCTTTGACCATGTGACCCCAAAATCAAGAGGGGTCTCCTACCTAATATGGACAATCATCCTATGAAGTTTGAATATTGTGGGTCAAATGGAACTTAAGTTATGTTCCAGAAACTGTTTTCAATTTTTAGGTAAAAGTGGCCTTGACCATTGACATTTTGACCCCAAAATCAATAGGCGTCTTCTACCTTATATGGATAATAATCCTATGAAGTTTGAATATTGTTGGCCAAATGGAACTTAAGTTATGCTACTGAAACTGTTTTCAGTATAAACGTAATTGCGACCTTGACCTTTGACCTTGTGACCCAAAATCAATAAGTGTCTTGTACCCAATATGGCAATCATCCAATGAAGTTTGAACATTGTGGGTCAAATGGAACTAAAGTTATGCTCCGGAAACTGTTTTCAGTATCACGGTAAAAGTGACCTTGACCTTTGACCTTGTGACCTTAAAATCAATAGGGGTCTTCTATCTAATATGGACAATCATCCTGTGAAGTTTGAACATTGTGGGTCAAATGGAACTTAAGTTATTCTCCGGAAACTGTTTTCAGTTTTAAGGTAATAGTGACCTTGACCTTTGACCTTTTGACCCCAAAATCAATAGGGGTCTTCTACCCAATATGGACAATCATCCAATGAAGCTTGAACATTGTTGGCCAAAAGGAACTTAAGTTATGCTCCGTAAACCAAATTTCTAACGGACAAATTGCTAACGGACGGACGGACGGACAGGCAGACGGACGCCAGGGGGTATAACATAATATGCCCTTTCGGGCATATAAAAATTATGTTTTTGTAAATAAATAATCATTTTCAAATTTGTCACTATGATTAATTTATGAACTTCTACATTATATGTCATATTAAGTTTTGATATTGATAGATTTTAGAATGTCGACAGTTGTCATTAAATGTCTCGTATATATTCTTTAAATGTTTTACCATCGGGCTTTTGTTGCAATACCCAAAGCGCATTGTTGCTATTTCACTGAAACAGTTCAGCGTTATATATAATTATTTTCTAGTAAATTGCATATGAAATTCGAATTCATTTGAAATTGTCTATAATGACAGAAAAGGGACCATTAAGTGAAAGCAACGTTCACGGATGCGTAGATACCACAGTGTACAGTCAGTCATACAGGACACTCTTATGATATTTTATCGTATTAGATCTTTCAAGTTGTGTTTAAGCTGTGAAGCGAAAGGGTCTAAAGCAGTTCTCTTAATAAAATGTAAACTTTACTTAGTTTTAGTCAAGGTCTCAAGTTTCAAATAAATATCAAGGTAGACCATCTGATAGTGAATGACAGTTTAAATTATTTGCGGTATCTCCCTTTTTCCAGAATCTTCATATTATCAGTAACAGATACACAGTTGAAGGTGACAACTGTTAAACGTTTTACGATACTTAAACAACGTGTTGATTTTAAACACATTCTTATTTATTAAGATCATTAAATCTAACACTTGAAGTGCACATAAATTAATCATTGATTTTCATTTAACCAGCTGGTGGCAAGTGAATCTTTCCATGCGAGCAGTGTAGACCAAGATGAGTTGACACACCTCTGCTGTCTGGTCATAGCCTGCAAATTTTCGCTATTCAGTTAGAACTTGCTTATGTTATTTTCGCCCCTGACAAAATGAGTGGTTATGTCCAGAATGAAAAGTAACGGTGTTCCGTTCAGTTTGGACGATCTTTTTTAGCTCACCAGTACCGAAGGTTTAGGGTGAGCTATTAGTATCAAGGGGGATGCTCCGGCGTCCGTCGTCATGCGTCAGCAATCATTTTCTCTGAAACTGCTGGGCAGATTTACCTCAAATTTGTTCTGTAGCATCCTTGTGCCAGTCACACTTAAATTTGCTCAAGTCATTTCAATTGACCTCTTTTAGGGGTCACCAGAGCTAAAAATAGAAAAACCTTTAAGCATCTTCTACTACAGAACCAATTGATGGATGATCACAAAACCTTGTAGCATTCTTGGGTAGTCCTTTATCACATTTGCTCATATTAATTTGATTGGCCCATTTTAGGAGTCTCTAGAGCTAAAATTAGAAAAAACTTTAGACATCTTCTCCTACAGACTTTATGAATGGATGATCACCAAACTCTGTCTGTAGCATTCTTAGGTAGTATTTTATCAAGTTCGATCATAATAATTTGATTGGCCCCTTTTAGGAGCCGCTAAAGCTAAAAATAGACATACCTTTAAACGTCTGCTTCTACAGAACCAATTGATGGATGATTACCAAACTTTATCTGTAGCATACTTGGGTAGTCCTTTATCACGTTTGCTCATATTAATTTGATAAGCCCCTTTTAGGGATCTCTGGAGCTAAAAATAGAAAAACCTTTAGACATATTCTAATGGATGATGAACACCAAATTTTGTCTTTATCATTCTTAGGTAGTCTTTTATCAAGTTTGCTCATACTAATTTGATTGGCCCAAGTTACGGGCTGCTAAAACTTAAAATAGAAATTAATTTAAACGGCTCCTTCTACAGAACTTATTGACGGTGATCACCAGATTGTGACTGTCGTATTCTTAGGTAGTCTTTTATCAAGTTTGCTCATATTAATTCGATTGGCCCCTTTTAAGGACCGCTAAAGCTAAAGATAGAAAAACCTTTGAACATCATTTCCTTCTGTATTGATTGATGGATGATCACCAATTTTTGTCTGAAACATTCTTAGGTAGTCTTTTATCAACTGTTCTCATATTAATTTGATTGGCCCCTCTTAGGGCCGATAAAGCTAAAATAGAAAGAACTTATTGATGGATGATCAACAAATTTTGTTTGTAGCATTTTCAAGTAGTCTTTCAGTTTGCTCATATTAATTTGATTGGCCCCTTTTAAGCTTAAGCATAAATACCCCAGGTCATAGCATTTCTTCAAGTTATAGTTTAAAGACATTCTATCCTCAAATTTAATATTGACAATGGATACACAGTTTCTTTATAAATATAAGATTAATATGTTTTGACTGCACACAAAGTAGATACGTTATGTTTTAAACTCTTCACACTATAGGTGGTCACAGTATGAATATGTAGTGTCATTTAAAATAACTTCCTGGTTTTCATTTTGTTTTGATTTTGTTTTGTTTATTTTTTTTAGAAAAGACCACTTTACTTGGCCTAAAATAGGAAATGCAGCTTCCCATACATAGTTTATTCATTCTTTTATTTAAATAAGGCATATTCAGTAAGAATGTCATAGATTTCAATAAATTTCTATAATAAGAATAGTTTACTAAACGTTGAACATAGTATATTTTTTATAATGAAAGGGAAACAACTCATGTTGAAATAAGAAATAAAATTAAAGAAAAAAGAAAGTCATTATTGACCTTGGCTATCGCCTTGGTCAATGTGTCAACTGCCGGTGAATATCACATATATTCAATGGCTTACTAGTCAATAATTGTATAATATTAAACAGGATTTAAGATAGCATACCCGCACAGTGTAAAGGGACATGTAAATATATACCATTTAATATACCTTTATCAATGCTGTATTTTTTTATCATACACAAAGACATCAAGATATACATTTACTAACCTACGCGACGATTCTTTGTAGTGTCTCTTTACCTATAGCTTATGTAATTATGTAATCTATTCATTTTAGATAATAAGAACTGCATACAAAGTCATGCAAAGTAAAAAAAACATAAATTGATCTATAGTGAGCCGGTGTAATTAGTTGAACATAATAGGACCAGCCATCTTCCGCTTATACTTAATCTGAAATAACATGCCTTGCTTTGAATTTGGAACAGTCAAGGATTTCATTATCAAAATACAAAAATGGATTTCAGTCGGGCGTGACCAGTCGCTCGGTTCCAGCAAGTTCAGAGTTAAATGAACCGAAACAATTAATTGTATACATGTAAGTGATGTAAATAAAACTATGTATTTCTTTTCTTTAAGTAACCAAGTTTATTTTTCTATATTGATTTCTCAAAAATGATTTAAAATAAAAATAACACCTTAGAGTAAGTAATGATTTTTTTGAAAATATAAAGGACGCACACACACCTTCACACACACAAATATGTGCGCAAACATCACACAACCACACAAATATACACCAGTTAAGTAAAATTAACTAGACGTGTCAAATCGTTCATTTATTTAGGATATTAACATGAGCTGTAAGGAAACTATGTTTCGGATATTTCTGTGTGTACTCAATTTTTTCTGTAGGTACGATCCTATAGAAGGTAACATAGTAATTACAGTTTATACAGATAAGTTAAATTAAATCAAATTAGTTCATGTAAGACATCACTTTTTATTTATGTGTGATTATCATTGTTTCCCCTTTGTTTAAAAAGAATTGGGAATATCAAGATTTTTTTATTTGGTTTATATC